ATTGAATAAAAAATGTTTTTGTCTCCCCCAAATTTATATTTTAAAATCCTAGCTCCCAGTATGATGGTATTAGGAGGTGGGGCTTTTGGGAGATAATTAGGTCTTGAGGGTGGAGCCCTCATGAATGGGATTAGCACTCTCATTAAAGAGATTCCAGAGAGCTCTTTCATCTTCTTTTCGCTTTGCGAGATACAATGAGAAATTAGTAGTCTGAGACCTAGAAGAGGTTCTCACTAGAACTGAACCACACTGGCACTCTGGTCTCAGAATTCTAGCCTCCAGCACTGTGAGAAATAAACTCCTGTTGTTTGTAAGCTACTCAGTCCATAGCACTTTGCTATAGTAGCTCAAACTGACTAAGAAAACCCCTAATCTATAAATATTAAAATTAAGATTCAAAAGGCTAAAAATATCTGTGCAATTCACCATAATCAGTAGGTTATGAAAACAGGGTCCTTTTGGACATAGGCGCTTTGAAGAGTAAATAATCAAATAAGCTTCAATTCCACCCTTTAGGTTTAAAATTTCATTCCCAAGTTATGTGAATTTATTCACTAAATTACAGATGTTTTATAATTCCCATCAGATGCTGAAGCCTCTTAATTTATTTGAGTCCTTTGAACTTTTATAAATTTCAACGTTATTTATTTCTACAAAGTTCATCTTCATACACTCCTATTCAACCTATCTTTGCTTATTTTTCTAAACTTTTACAAGAGAATCCCATTTCTGTTTGACTCTACTTGATTTCAGTTTCTTTGCCTGAGATGCGTTTCCCAGGCAGAGCACTACAGCCTCGATTTTCCAGCACTAGAAAACACTAGATAACTGGGATGACAGATGACACAAGTACCCATGAAGAAAATGTCAAGCTATTCCTTCATTGTTGAAGCTGTTGAAAATTGTTGAAGTTGAAACTAGGAGCTTGGTTTATAGCAAATGCACGTGTTAAAATCTCCCTTTTACATTCCTGGTCTCAGGCAGACACTCTGAGTTTGCTGCTTGACAGTCTTCCTTCGAGGGTCCTCAGCAAAACTAGGGAACTCATTGCAGAACAGAGGCTGAGCATGGAGTGTAAGAGAAAGTGCAACAAGGATGGGGAGAGAGTTACACTGTGTCTCTACAGAGGAAGGAGAGAAAACAAAATAGCAATAAATAATCCTTTATGGAAGGAAGATCTTGTTTAAGGACTTCATTTGATTTGCAGTGTAGAAAAAAGAGTAAAAAAAATACTTGCATTAATAGACCTCCTTCATAAGCACAGTGCCATTGTATATTAAAGAGTTACATTTTCTATGGCAGCTTTTGTATTATTGGGAATAAAAAGTTTGTATTAGTCTTTGTTATCATACAGAAATAAATTAGACCTGCCTTATGAACATACAGTGACAATGGCCTATCTGATAGAAATACAGTGACTTAAAAAGTCTGATGCCTCTAATATACTGTCCAATAGAGAGAAATTATTTCTCAGGTAGCAATAGTAACAGTAGTCTTAGCAGGGGTAGATGTTGTTATTTCAAGGTTGGTCTATGAACCCACATTCACATTCCTTGAAAATGATTTTCATTTAGATTTGCCAGTTTTTTTTTTTTTTTTTTTTTTTTTGTTTTTAATTTACAAAAGTGTGTAACATAAGTCAGGGAAGGGTTTTATGTCCTGTCCTGATAGAGATATTGGTGTGTACTAAAATGAGTCTTTGTAGTATTAATAAATGAAACAAATCGACCCTCTTGATATCAAATAGTTAAGCAGTGATATTGCAATCAATTTATTATAGCACATTGTAAAATATGTTTCTCCAGAATTTCTTCAGAACATTCTTTGTTTGATTTTTTCTAATTCATTTACTATTTCCTAATATATTTTCCATTGAGCATTTCTCCTTTCAAAGTCCAAATATTTTAAAAATTATGTATTTATAAACAATCTTTAAAAGTTCCTCATTAGTCGTGAAATTAATTTTCTAGGATGTAATTGTTAACCAGCATTTACACTCTTTCCATAAACATCCTGGATGATTAAGAGAAAAAAAAATGGATTATAAATTGATTTTCAGTGTTTATACATTTAATAACGTATAAGAGGTTATATAGCTGGTCTTTATCTGTTCAGTATCCACTTTCATAATACCATTTTAATATTTAACAAAGAACTAATGCTTAAAAAATATTATTGTATCATTTATATTTTGGTGTTATGGTTAGCTCCAACACTACTCACCTTTCCTCACCCTCAAGTGCTTCCTTCAGAACCTAGCTATACTCAACTTCTGGATCCTAAAGTACTAATTACCTAATACACAGACCATAGTTTTACTCTCGGATTTTCACTTTTTAAGAAATTGCTGCAAATTCTAGATTTGTTGATTTATGAAGTTTTGTACATTATTTCAAGGATGCATGTTAATATGGTCACAAAAAAACAAAGAACATATTTTAAAATTATGTTGTATCTGTCCCACAGTACCATACCGTGCCTCAGGAGGTGAGAGCTCAATGAATGTTTTTTAAATAGCCAAAATATATTTTTAGCCCACAACATGCTGGTTAGCATTTTTCTAAATCAATTCACTTCCCCCGAAAAAACAGAGACTTGTCGATGTAAGAAGCTTATCCAAATGATAAATATGACAGTTCTACAGAGAAAAACAACACACTGATTAACAATTTAAAAAATCAGTCATGAAACCAAATACTCCCTTCTTGGTATTAAACAATCTATGTGATCACAGCAACAACAACAACAACAACAACAATCAGCTTTGTCCTAAAGATTTTGAAATCCCTGCATCCCAGAAGTTCATTTAGCAGTGCATGTACGTGTCTCATGGCTGCCTTTATACAACGAAAATACTGAATCAATTATCTCAGGTCTGTATAATTCAGCCCCATTCATGAAGCTGTGGCCTAAGTTTCCTTCTGCTTTCTTCCTGGACAAAAGTAATTCCTTCAACAGAAGAGAAGCATATTTTCCATTCATTTTTTTCTAAGTATTAGAAAAAGAAGTATTGATGCAGCCAAATTGCTACCTAGAACTTTTTTAAATTATAAAAAATATTTTATCTTTAAATTTAAAATGTGTCTTAAAATTGGTCACTCATGTAATTATTTTTCTTTTTGTCTTGCTATTCTAAGAACTCAATGTATAGTACTCATTAAAATTCCTCACTTGTCAACCCTATAAAAGAAGTTAATTAATTTTAAATCTAATTTCTGAAATAGAAGAAAGGAGTAGGGCAAAGAATAAGAAAGTAGAAGAAATAGAAGAATAAGAAAGTAATTCTTTCAAAGGCTTAAATCCACAAAACAAAATCATATTTTAATGTAACTTGCTTCTGGCATATTAAAACCCAGAGCCATCAAAATCATGACAGAAAAAAATGTCACTAAAGAAACTGAGAATATTATTGAAAATTTTATCTGACATTTTATTTATTTGTCATTTGGTTTGGTTTTGATTTTGAGTTTTGGAGTGTTTGGGGTTTTGTTTTATTTTTGCTGTAGGTTGTATTGAAAGAGCCATAGCCACTAATAAGGAGAGGAAAAATAATTTCTGCCTTCTGATTCAGTATTGAGGCAAGTGAAGGAAAACCAACTATCTTTTTCACTAGGTGACAGGAGAGAGGGACAAGGGAAGGGGTAACTGCCACATATAACTAAAATACACTGAACTAAACCAGCAAAGAACTTTGTAACCCCTGCATCAGGGAGCATTTCATCAACAGAGATAAGTGAGCAGAGCAAAATAGCACTGAGCAATACAACAGCCCATGTGAGAATGAATGGCTAATGAAGAACTCCAGCTTGCAAGCATTCTTCATTCAGGGACAGTGGCACCTGTGCCTATGTGGGTAACTGAAAAATTGTTCTTACAGCTACACATCATGCTTACTGATTGGTATAAAGTAGTATATAAATAAATTCATATCTACCAGTTTCAAATAAATTATCTTTTGATATAATATGACTACAGTACTTGCAAGTTGTGCATAAGTGCCAACTTACAAAAAAAGAGTTTTTCTCAAGTTTTTGAGAAAACCAAAAATAAAAGTCAACTATACATGTAAACAAAGTTTAAGGGAGCTCTTTTCCTCTACCATTTTTGCTTTAACAAATGAAAATAGTAGTTTTCTCTGTTTTATTAAATTCATACATAGCTATATAATTATATTCATAAATAAACATATAACGGTGATTGTTGTACCTCTGTTTCTCAATTATCAACTCATAAAAAGCCAAACAATATTGGCTTGGGCAATCAAAGCCAGCCACTGTTATAAAGCAGGTATCAGCCACCATTTCCTTCTGCAGCACCTATCACATTCTAACATAATATTGGACTTACTTATGTGTTTATTGTGTATTTCTCTTCTTAGAAGGTAATCCCCTAAAGGTCAGGTTTCTTATTTATATTTATTGAGAAGATGGCATTTTCATCTCCTCAAACAGTACCTGTTTTATAAATATTTGTTGAAGAAATATTTAAAAGAATGTCTAAGAAACTTTTGAAGGTTATTTCATAAATATGTCTACCATGACCGGCAGAAGTTCTTATGTGGTCTAATAATCAGTTTTCACACTTCTATAAAGATATTACTCGAGACTGGGTAATTATAAAGAAAGGAGGTTTACTCACAGTTCTCCGTGGCTGGGAGGACTCAGGAAACTTACAATCATAGCAGAAGTTGAGGGAAAAGCAAGTACCTTCTGCATTGGGTGGCAGGAGAGAGGGGCGAGTGCAGGGAAAACTGCCACTTACAAACCATCAGATCTCACGAGAACTCCTCACTATTACAAAAACAGCATGGCGGAAATCACCTCCATGATTCAATCATTCCCCATCAGGTCCCTCCTGGACATGTGGGATTACAATTCAAGATGAGATTTGGTTGGGATAAAAAGCCAAACCATATAATCTAGTTACTTTCTGACTCAATGTTGCTGAAACAGTTAAATTATTAATAATTTCAAATTGCTCCATTCAGCCTTAATTCTTACCTTGTCAAAGAGTAGCCTTTGTGTTGTTCCCCCTAGAAATTTTACAGAGAAAATGACAAATAAAATCATTGAAAAAGTATTTATTGGAAAATACATGATATATAGCAATTAATATTCCTCCTGCAGTGTGGATCTGCCATACAAGTTGGGAGGCCCTATGTCAATACCTAACACGTGGTTAGATGCAGCATCATGCATCTTTCCTAAGGTTCTTAAGTTGGCCCCTACACCTGCAATAAAGCTGAAATCGGGGAGTTATTTGTTATCATAGATATAGCAGTAAATGGTCATTTTCTTTTCAATGTGCATGCCCATGAAATTCCATGTTATTGTATTTTTTATTTTATATTATGTTTTTCATTTTTAATTATTATGGGTATACAGTAGGTGAATATATATATATGTATGGGTGTACATGTGATATTCTGATGCAGAAATACTATGTAATAATCACATCAGGGTAATTGAGGGTATTCATTATCGCAAGCATTTTATCATTTCTTTGTGTTAAGAACATTCCAATTTCACTCTTTTCATTATTTCAAAATATAAAATAAATTATTGTTGACTGTAGTCATCCTGTTTGCTATCAAATACTGGGTCTCATTCATTGTAACTATATTTTCGTACACATTAATTATCCCCACTTACCCCACTACTCCCCAATAAGCTTCCCAGACTCTGATAACAATAATTCTACTCTCTATCTCCATGAGTTCAATTGTGCATCAGAAAGATACAGTTAAATAACTTATGATATAGATAGGCTTTAATCTGACAACTTAATAAATTAAAGGATATAACAAAATTTTCTGGGTTCTGCTTGGTAAAGTAACAAAACAAAAACAAAAACAACACATACTTACATTTTAGGTGTCATCCATCTACTCATTTTTTGAAATCCAAATATGGCAGGTAAACAAAATAAACAACAAACTTGATTTGAGGACAATTGGACTCAAAAGTAATTTTGTTTCTAAAAACTCTCTATATAATTATATTTTCTTCTAAAAAACCTATATACAGTTATTTTAAGGCAATTATTTTTTTAAAAATATAAACATGGTCACCCAATGTCTTAGTCCATTTGGGCTGCTGTAACAAAATATCTTAGACTAGGTAATTTATAAACAACAAACATTTATTTCTCACAGCTCTGGAGGCTGTGAAGTCCAAGATTAAGATGCCAACAGATTTTGTGTCTGGTAAGAAGGTGCATTCTGTTCCATACGTGGTGCCTTCTTGCTGTGTCCTCGCATGGCAGAAGAGGCAAGGTATCTCTCTGGAGCTCTGCCTTCATAACCTAATCACTTCCCAAAGGTCTCACTCTTAATACGATCATGTTGGGAATTAGGTGTCAATGTATAAATTTGCAGAGGTATACAAACATTCAGACCATAACACTAAAGGGTTATGAAGTTTTGTATGTTTCTTACCTTATAAAAACTTTAAAAATAAATCAATAAACAAGATATCAAGTTAATATAAATTTTATATGTCAACATTTATTGCTAAGAAAATGTTTCAGATGCATATTCCAATAATCCAAGAGGTTTTATAGTCATGCATTTTTAACTATGCACACAAACATGTATCAGCTGTATTTCTATAATATGCTAACATTCACTTTCCTGTAAAATAAATTATGCACACTATATTTTAACATAGGACCCTTAAGAGCAAAATTTGACAAGAGACTTGTTTTTCAACCTTTATGCAAAGTTTACTGAAATGGTATTTACATGCAGCAATGTAATCAATTCTATCAACTTCTATTATATTGGAAACAGTTTCATTGAAATATGCTAGTGTAAATGGATTTCAAGATGTTTATTAAATGCCTCATAAGCTTCTTGGCATTACTAGAATATGGACTTAAAATATTTAAGTCTACATAACATGAAGTAAAATATTTGCAATTATGGTAAAATCTCACTGAGTTATACACTTCTAATTAAAAATTTCCAACAATTTAAACTTATTGGTATGATGCCTGGGATGTTCTGGCTTCTGACCATAGTTTAATGAAAAAATACTTACTAAAGAAGAAAGAATTTATATACACAGAATTCTTGACATTGCATTACGACTACAAATTTCTTACCATAAGATTGTTAACACAGTTGTTTAGATCATCTGAAACACTATTAACATCACCATTATTGTAGAAGTTGAATTAGGGTCTGCTATATACAAACTTAACATCTAATTTAGTAATTAAGCATTTTTTTTCTTTTATTTTAAATAAAAGGGTTACATGTACAGATGTACTACCTGGGTATATTGCACTCAGATAGTGAGCAAAATGCCCAATAGATAGTTTTTCAACCCTTACCTTCCTCCTTCTCTCCCAACACTAGTAGTTCACAGTGGCTATTGTACCTACGTTTATGTCCATGTGTGCTTAAGGTTTAGTTCCTGCTTGTGAGAATATGTGGTATTTGGCTTTCCTGAGTTAGGTCACATAGGATTATGACCTCCATCAGAGTTGCCACAAAGGATATGATTTCATTTTCTATGGCTGCATAGTATTCCATGGCATATAAGTACCACATTTCTTTAACCAATTCACCATTTATGGGCACGTAGCTTGATTTCATATCTTTGCTATTGTGATAGTGCTGTGTTGAATATACAAGTGCATGTATCTTTTTGTTATAATAATCTATTTTTCTTTGGGTAGATGCCCCATAATGGGATCGCTGGGTCAAATGTTAGCTCTGTTTTAAGTTCTTTGAGAAATCTCCAAACTGCTAATGTACATTTCCACTAACAGCATATAAGCATTCCCTTTTCTCTTCAGCCTCACTAGTATCTGCTGTTTTGACTTTTTAATAATAGCTGACTGGTGTGAGACAGTATCTTACTGTGGTTTTGATTTGCATTTCTCTAATGATTAGTAATGATGAGCATTCTTCATATGTTTGTTCTTTGCCCACTTTTTAATGGGGTTATTTGCTTTGTGCTTGTTGATTTGGTTAAGTTCCTAATAGATTCTGGATATTATTCCTTTGTCAGATGCATAGTTTGTGAATACTTTCTCCCATTCTGGAGGTTGTATGTTTACTCTATTAGCAGTTTGTTTTATCGGGCAGAAGTTCTTTAGTTTAATTAGTTCTTACTTGTCAACATTTGCTGTTGTTACAACTTCTCTGCAGACTTAGCCAAAAATGATTTGCCAAGGCTGATGTCAAGAAGGGTATTTCCTAGGTTTTCTGGGATTTTTATAATTTCAGGTCTTACACTTAAATATTTAGTTCATCTTCAGTTAATTTTTGTATATGAGGAAAGGAAGGGGTCCAGTTCAGTCTTCTACACGTGGTTAGCCAGTTATTCCTGCATCATTTATTAAACAGAGAATCCTTTCTTCATTGGTTGTTATTGTTAACTTTGTTGAAGATCAGATGATTGCAGATGTTTGACTTTGCTTCTGGTTTCTCTAACATGTCCCTTTGGTCTGTATGTCTGTTTTTGTACCAATACCATGCTGTTTTGGTTAGTGTAACTTTATAATATAATTTGAATTTGGGAAGTGTGATGCTTCCAGTTTTGTTCTTTCTGCTTAGGATTGCTTTGGCTACTTGGGCCCACTTTTGGTTCCATATGAAATTTAGAATATTTTTGCTCTAATTCTGTGAAGAATGATGTTGGTAATTTGATAGGAATCACACTGAATCTGTCAATTTCTTTGGGCAATATGGCCATTTTAACAATACTAATTCTTCCAATTCATGAGCATGTGATGTTTCTTCATTTGTTTTTGTCATCTGTGATTTCTTTCATTAGGGTTTTGTAGTTCTTGTAGAGATCTTTCTCCTCCTTGGTTAGCTGTGTTCTTGGATATTTCTTTTTCTTTGTTGCTATTGCAAGTGGGATTCCAATCTTGATTTCACTCTCAGCCTAGACATTGTTTGGGTATAAAAATGCTACTGATTTTCCCACATTGCTTTTGTATCCTAAAACTTTACTAAAGTTGTTTGTCAGTTCTAGGAGCCTTATGGCAGAGTCTTTAGGATTTTTTTGGTACAGAATTATATTTTCAATGTATAGAGATATTTTGATTTCTATTGTCAGTGTATAGAGATAGTTGGATTTCTTCTTTTCCTATTTGAATGCTTTTCATTTATTTCTCTAGCCTGATTGCTCTGGGTAGGACTTCCAGTACTATGTTGATTAGCAGTTCTGAGAGTGGGCATCCTTGCCTTGTTCCACTTCTCAAGGGGAATGGTTGCAGCTTTTGTCCATTCAGTATGAAGTTGGCTGTGTGTTTGTCATAGATGGCTTTATGTCTAGTCTGTGTAGGGCATTTATCAAGAAGAGATGCTGAATTTTATTGAAAGCTTTTTCTGCATCTATTGAGATAAGCATGTGGTTTTTGCTTTTGATTCCATTATGTGGTGAATCATATTCATTGATTTGCATATGTTGAACCAGCCTTGCATGCCAGGAATGAGGTCTACTTGATCAAGGTGTATTAACTTTTTGATACACTGCTGGATTTGGTTTCTAGTATTTTGTTGAGGATTTTTTTTTTATCTATATTCATTGGGAATATGGCCTGAAGTTTCATTTTTTTCACTGAGTTTCTGCAAGATTTTGGTATTAGGCTGATGCTGGCTTCCTAGAATTAGTTAGGGAGGAGCTTCTCCTATTCAATTTTTTGGAACAGTTTCAGTAGTATTGGTACCAATTCCCTTTTGTACATTTGGTAGAATTCAGCTGTGAATTGTGTTCCAGGATTTTTTCTAGTTGCTAAGTATTTTTTCATTGCTGATTTGATTTCAGAATTTGATATTCATCTATTCAGGGTTCAATATCTTCCTGACTTTAATCTTAGGAGATTGTATGCTTCCATAAATTTATTCATTTCCTCTAGATTTTCTTATTTTCATGCATAGAGTTGTTTATATTACACTCTGAGGATCTTTTCTATGTCTGTGGGATCGATTGCAATGCCATCTTTGTCATTTTTTATTGTACTTATTTTGAATTTTTCTATTTTATCTTTGTTAACCTAGCTAATAGTGGTCTATCAATCTTGCTTATTTCTTTTTGTTTTCTTCTTCTTTTGTTTGTTTTTTTTGAAATACCGAGTGTTGATTTCATTGATCTTTTGTATAGACTTTTTCATCTCAATTTCATTTAGTTCTTCTCTAATTTTAGTTATTTCCTTTCTTCTGCTAGTTTTGGGGTTGTTGGGGGTTGGTTTGTTCTTGTTTTTTCTAGTTCCATTAAGCACAAAGTCAGATTGTTAATTTGATAACTTCCTAGCTTCTTTATGAAAGCACTCAGCATTACAAACTTTCCTCTTAACACTGTTTTAGTTGCATCTCAAATATTTGGTGTGTTGTGTCCCTATTTTCATTAATTTCAAAGTTTTTTTTTATTTCTGCCTTAATTTCAATGTTCATCCAGGAGTTATTCAGGAGCAGGTTTTTAATTAACATATATTTGTGTAGTTTTAAGAGATCATCTTCGTATTGATTTTTATTTTGAATACATTGTGGTCCAAGGGTGTTCTTAGTATGATTTCATTTTTCTGTAATTTAGGCTTGCATTATGACTGAACATGTCATTGACCTTAGAATATGTTCCATGTGCAAATGAGAAAAATGTATATCCTGTGATTGGTGGGTAGAGTGTTCTGTAAATGTCTATTAGATCCAATTGGTCAAGTGTAGAGTTTAAGTCTGGAGTTTCTTTTCTAGACCTCTGCCCTGATGATCCATCTAATGCTGTCAGTGCATGTCAAAGTCTCCCGCTGTTATTATGTTGTTGTCTAAGTTGTTTCATAGGCCAAGAAGAGCTTGTTTTATGATTTTGAGTACTCTAATGTTGAGTACATGTATATGTAAGTCTTTTTGTTGAATTGTGCCCTTTTATAACTATGTAATGTCGTTCTTTGCCTTTCTTAATTTTTTTTGGTTTTAAATCTGTTTTATCTGATATAATAGCTATTCCTGCTCTTTTGTTTTCTGTTTTCACTGTATATATTTCTCCTTCCCTTTACTTTGAACCTGTCTGTGGACATTGTTACATATGGGAAGGTCTCTTGAAGACAGTGTATTGCTGGGTCTTGTCTTTTTATCCAGCTTGACGCTCTATGACTTTAAAGTGGGACATTTAACCCATGTCATTCAGGGTTTGTATTGAAATGTGAGATTTTGATCCTGTCATGTTGTTACCTGGTTTTTATATAGACTTGATTGTGTGATTGCTTTATAGTGCTTGTGGAATATGTGCTTAATTGTGTTTCTGTGGTAGCCGGTATTGTTCTTTCAATTCCATGTTTAGCAGGTCCTAAGGAGCTATGTATCATAAGGCTGGTCTTAAAAGAAATTCTACAAGTGTTTTCTTGTCTGAGAATAATTTTATTTCTTCTTCACTTATTAAGTTTGGTTTGGTGAGATACAAAATTCTTGGTTGGAAATTTTTTTTATTTCCAATTACTTAAGGAAGATAAAAATAGGCTCCAAAACTCTCTGGTTTTTAATGTTTCTGCTGAGAGGTCTGTTGCTAGCATGATGGGATTCCCTCTGTACATGACTTGACCCTTCTCTCTAGCTGCTTTTAAGATTTATTATTTTAAAATGTGGTACATATACCTCCATGGAATACTATGAAGCCATGAAAGGAAACGAGGTGGGTCATTTCCAGGGACATGAATGGACCTGGAGGTTATGCTTAGCAAACTAATGCAGGAACAGAAAACCAAATACTATATGTTCTCACTTATAAGTGGGAGCTAAATGTTGAGAACACATGGACACATGGGGGAAAAACACACACACTGGGGCCTGTCAGAGGGCAGGGGGTGGGAGAAGGGAGAGGATCAGGATGAATAGTTAATGGATACTGCACTTAATATCTGGGTGATGTGATGACCTGTGCAGCAAACCACCATGGTGCATGTTTACCTGTGTAACAAAACTGCACATCCTGCACATGTACCCCTGAACTTAAAAGTTGGAAATTAAACAAAAACAAAAAGATTTACTCTTTTGTGTTGACCTTGGTGAATTTGATGACTGTGTGCCTTCAGTATGGTCATCTTGCATAGGATCTAGCCAGGGTTCTCTGTTTTTTCCTGAATTTGCATGTCAACATTTCTAGCAAGATTAGGGAAATTTTTCTGGACTATATCCACAAAAATATATTTTCTGAGTTATTTATTCTTTCTCCTTTTCTCTCAAGAATGCCAATGAATCATAGATTTGATCTGTTTACATAGTCCCATATTTCTCAAAGCTTTTGTTCATTTTTCTTAAGTCTCTTTTTTTGTTGTTGTTACTTTCTGACTTAGTTGATTCAAACGACTAGTGTTCAAGCCATGAAATTATTTCCTCAGCTTGGCCTATTCTGCTGTTCATACTTTCCATTGTATTATCAGATTCTTGTAGTGAACTTTTCAACCCCAGAAGTTCACTTTGATTCTTTTCTAAAAATGGCTATTTTGTCTTTCAACTCTTGGATTATTTTACTGGATTCCTTGGATTGTGTTTCGCCTTTCTCCTGAATCTCATTGAACTTCCTCATCATTCAGATGCTGAATTCTATGTCTGTCATTTCAGTCTTGTCTGACTGGTCAAGAGCCATCACTGGGGAGCTAGTGGACTCATTTGGTGGTATAAAGACACTTTGGCTTTTTGAATTTCCAGAGTTCTTGGGCTGATTTTGTCTCATATGGGAGGGTTAGTGTTCCTTTAAGTAAGATGTAAGCTGAGTATAGACAATTGACTTTGTTTCTGCATGTTTTCAGATGGTCCAGGCACTTTGCAGGGCCTTGGTGGCTGAATTCTTGTCCTTGGCTTCATAGGGAGAGATATTAGCAGTGTATTTTTGTTGTGGTAGCTTGTGCTGCAATCCAGTAGATGATGCTTAAGAGTCATAGCCAGTAGATAAGTTTTTACTCAGCCATGTGGCTCCTTTTTATTTCCTGGCATCTGCATTCATGCTCTGTAGTGCAGTAGGGAGAGAGGTGATCCCCTCACCAAGTCAGCTCCTGGGCAATGGGGGAGCCCCTCCAATCACTGGCACTGTACCTTCATTTATTTTGTCAAGTATTTGACCCACATCTCTTCCTCAGGCAGAGGCATTTTCTGGGCCAGCCCTGAGAGGAAGGCATGCCCCACTCCCATGGCAGACTGCACAGTCCTGAGACTCAGCTTTCCCAGTGCTCTTACAGCGTGGCTCCTCTTCTGCTTAAGCACTGTTCACAAACCTCAGCTTGGCAATTCTAAGCTACCACCACAGCCTTGGGGGTAGCTCAGACTTTTTGTCCTCCTCCTCCCCAGCTTGGGGACAGCAGGAGTAATGACCACTGTGGAAGCAACGTCAGAGAATTTGTCAGTTGCCTCTGGGATCTCCAACCTAGAGAAACGCGGAACCATGGCTGATTGGAGTATCAACCAAGAGTGCAGAGGCTGTACTACGGGCTCAAGCCAGGGGGATCTGCCTGGTGAAGAGCGGGGGCACAAGGGCTCACAGGGAACACAGTCCGGTCTTCTCTCCTTAGGGTGGCTGGAGTGTGCTGGAGGTACAAGCAAAGCAATCAGTCTCTTTGTTCCTTCCCTAGACTTAGAGGAGCCAGAGCCTATAATGCAGCTGTGGCAATGGTAGAGTGGTTGTTAGTTGTCTCTGCGAGCTCCACCCAGCTGCACTCGGGGCCCAAGCTGGGAGGCCTTGCCTGGTGAAGAGAAGCAGGGGCAGGGACTCAGGACTCACGTGGAAAACAGTCTGGCCACCTTTCTGTATGGCAGCTGCAGTATGCTGGAGACCTGTGACAATTCTCAGGCTCTTTGCTCTCTTCCCAGCCTGCAGGCAGTAGTTGCAGGGACCATGGCAGTAGCAATGAAGCAGACCTGTCAGTTACCTTTGGGAGCACCATCCCAGAGAAACTCAGAACTGCCATCAGTCGGAGTGCTTAGGCAGGCGTGGAGTAGCTGCACTGGGGTCCCTGGCCAGTGGGCGTTCCTGGTGGGGTGCAGCAGAGGTGGGGCATTTCGTCCATCTACTCCTCAGCACCATGAATGCAGCCTCCATACTAGCGGCCCAGGAGAGAGCCTGGTCTCTCTTGTTGGCAGGGCTACCATAGCAGCTGCTGAGGGGCTCAGGGATCCAAGAACCATGGGACCCCATTGGGGCTTGAGCAGTGGGTTTGCCTAAGCTTCAGGCAGATCTCTATGTCAGTCTAGAGGCCAAGGGCATCAAGGAGGATCTCATATGTTCAGAATTGCAAAGGTCTGTGGCAAAAGTGTAGATTTCCAGGGGCTCTCACTCACTTACCTTTCCCCACAGTAGGCTCCGCGCCAATCCTGGGTGGGCATCTGTCCTGCCTTGCTCCTGTCTGCGCTCCATGGGTCTCTCCTGCTTCCTTGATGAATCCCAACATGGCCTCCTGAACAATCCACTTGAAGGTCTGTTTCCTCTCCATGAGAGTTGTGCACACTGGCTGCTTCTAAGCCAGCCATATTGTCACATTTTTCCAAAAATAAAGAATTTTAATGGAACACTTTATATAATTCTAAGAAATCTAAAACTCATAGCTGAATCCCTAATATAGAGGCATTGGCTTTTACTAAGTGTTTAAAGTTAGTATATTCATGATTCATACAAGAATTAATGTTGAGATCATTTTAGTATTCAATGAATTTATAGCCTAGAACTAAAATTACACTCTCCTCTTGCGTTATACTTGTTTTTTTTTTTTTTTTTTTTTTTAATTGCTGCTATAACAAATTACCACAAACGTAGTGGCTTAATACAACACAAATTTATTCTTTTGTAGCTCTGGAGTTCAGAATTCCAAAATGAGTCTTATAGGACTATGATCAAAGTGTCAGTAGGGTTGGTTCCTTCTGAAGACTCTAGGAGAAAGCTGTTCCTTGGCTTTTCTAGTTTTCTTATTAGCAGTTGCATCACCCCAGCCTCTGCTTCCACACTTCCTCTCACTCTCCTGCCTTTCTCTTCCCCTTGTAAGAACTCTTGTAATAACTTTGGAACTATCAAGATCATCTAGCATATAACTCCCCCATCTCAAAATGCTTAATTTATTCATATCTGCAAAATTCCTTTTGCCACTTAACATTACATCATCCCAAATTCTGAGAATAGAGTCATGGATCTTTTGGGGAGGAAGGCTATTGTTCTGAATCCCATATACATGAAAGTGAATTTTATTTTAATTTTAACAAGAACATCATAGTTTTTTTTTAAAAAAAAAAAGGATTAGTGTTTTTAATTATACTATTAAACATATTGTCATATTTCAAATTATTTTTTTCCTATCTGACTGTATTTTTTCAGTTTTATTTCTTTCTGATTATTTCAGTTAATATATAATGTGAATATTATTACCCAATTGATAGCAAAGATAGTAGCTATTTTAAGTTGATATATGATTTCAAATATTTTAACTGTGTGCACCATTTTATTGTGTTTTAGTAATAATGTATCAATTTCTGTAAATTACTACCTTTTTCAAGGGAAGAAACCTTAATAACTCACCTGAGACTTTTCCTTATTATTTGCAGCCAAATCACAACTTAGCCTCCACTTCAGGTACCCTCTTCTTAACACGTGAACCCCATCTTTAATAGCATAAAAGATTAAGTGAAGTGTTATTGTTAGTTATTAAAACCTCACAGAAAATTCGGTTTGGTTAAAGTAATTCTATGCGTTGGGTAGTGATTCTTCAAAACTTGACCAAAAATTTAAATGTAGACTTTGGAGATATTTTTTCCAATTCAGATAGATATATGATGATGTAATGAACATTCTCCCAGTAGAGCTGCAAACAAGAAAATATAAAAGAGAACATAGCTGATTATTTCAGAAGGAGGGGAAAGTAAAATGGTTTATCAACAAGCACAGTCTTTGTAGATAAGACATTTAAAATGCAGTGAGATTTTTATTGCTATCCTTAAAAGAAATGGAATGTACCTCCTCTCTTACTCCCTTGACTCTATCTCGTTCAAATATTATACATGGAAGAGTACACAAAGGACAGAGCTATAAAATTAAGGTGTTTTACTGCTCTTCATGGTTCACTGCTTGCAAGGCAGCATCATTGCTTCTATTAGGGAGGAGAAAGACGATATAAGAAGCAATCATTCTACTTGTTGTTGATGCAAAGATTCTTTGGGATTACTTAGATTTCTGCAATTCACATTGCTGGAGTCAAATAGACCTCTGGCAAATTAATTAATTAATTCCAAAATGAAATTTAGAATTTGCACACATCCTTCCCAAAATGTCACTTGGCTACCACTCAAACAATTATCTGTGAGTGGCGTAAAACTGTGCCTAGTTTAATATCAGCAGTTCATTTTAAAGAAAACTTTATTTTTCCAGTGGCAACAAGTTTAAAATCTATTATTCCTGATATAAGATTCCTACAATTTTAAGAATTTTAGAATGATTCTTTATTAATAGAATCATGTATTTAGGCAACTTATATGTATAAGATATAACATGATACTTGAAACAAATCAATAATATGCTGTATTCGTCACGTCTTATCTGGAGTATTATATTTAGTAATAAACCTCTTTTTTCAATCTAGAGTATAAAGAGTAAGTATAAAGAGTAGTAAAAAGAAAATACTTAAGACTTAATAGCTGAAAATTTCCCAAATTTGATGAAGAATATAAGCCTACAACTCCTATAAGCTCAACAAACAACAATCAAGATAACAATTAAAAATGCCTATCTTTCAACAATGAAAGCAAAAGAAAGCCTTATTTATTTCTTTATTTTATTTCTTTATTTTTGAGACAGAGTCTCACTTTGTCACCCAAGCTGGAGTGCAGTGGCATGATCTCAGCTCTCTGCAACTTCTGCCTCCTGGGTTCAAGCAATTCTGATGCCTCAGCCTCCCATGTAGCTGGGTCTACAGGCATGCACCACCATGCCTGGCTAATTTTTGTATTTTCACGCCTTCACCCATGCCATTCTGGGACTATAGTTACGTAAACACTAGACCAGCATTTTACCACATATTATGTTCTTTTTTTTTATATGGTTCAATTTGAATATTTTGATTGTTTTATCTTCAAATTCAGTGATCATTTTCTTCTGCACTGCATAATCTGTTGCTAATCCCATCTTGCATATTTTTCATTTATTACATTCTTATTCCATATCTAGTTCTATTTGGGCTCTCTCTTTTTAAAAATATCTCATTAACCACTTCCTCATGCTTATGTATTCCTCTACACTCTCAATCATAAAGAGGAGCATATTTATATTAGAAGTTTTAGATTGCTGTCTTCAAATTTTCTTCATGTATTTCTGGCTCTGTTTCTATTAATTGATTTGTCTCCTAATTATAGATATATTTATTGTTTTTTGCATGCTTGGTAATCTTTTTTTGTTGTTGGACATTGTGAATTTTATGTTGTTGCTTGCAGCATTTTGTTGGTAATAACAATAAAATATTTTTTGATATACATATTAGAATATATATATATGAAAAGATATATATTAAGAAAGAAATTCAAAAATTAGATCCATACTATGTATATGGTCAATTGATTTATGACAAGACCATAAGGCAATTTAATGAGAAAGGATAGTCTTCAAAAAAATTTACTGGAACAGGAGGATAACCTTATGGAAATAACAAATATCAACTTTATTTCAATTTGATATACACAAATTAACTCAAAATAAATCATTTGCCTAAATGTGAAGGGTAATGCTATAAAACTCCTGGAAGGAAATGTAAGAAAATATCTGTGTGGGCTTGACCTGGACTTTCTCAAAAATAAAATATTTCTCTCTTTGACAGATACCACTAACAAAATATAAAAGCAAGCCACAGATTAGAACAAATACTAACAACATGTATGTAGACAACTAGATTTTATTCGGAGTATATACAAAACTTTTACAACTTAAAAATAAGACAAATCCAATAAAATGAGCAAAGGATTTGAAAATACACTTTATAAAGAAAGAGTTAATAATGACTAAGATGCTCAAATTATTAATGATCATGGGAATTCAAAATAAACCACAATTAGATGCATATATAGTGGAGTGGCAAAAATTTAAAAGAGTGATAAAATCAGAGGTTACAAAAATGTAGAAATTTAAAAACCTGTTACATTATGAATGGTGATATAAATAGCACAACCATGAGAAATAGTTTAACAGTTTCTAATAAAAGTAAACATATACTTGCCATATAACCCACCTATTCTACTCAAAGGAATTTACTCCTATAAAATAAAAATATGCCTATACAAGCATTTGTTTACAAATGTTCACAGCAGGATTTTTTTTGTTTTTTTTGTTTGTTTGTTTGTTTGTTTCAATATCAAAACCGGGAACAACACAAATGCTCATCAGCTGGTAAATAGCTACAGCTATTGTGATATATCCATACAATGAAATACCTCACAGCAATAAAATGGAATAAACTACTGATACATAGGTCATCTATGATGATGAATCCTAAAATCATGTTAAACTGAAGTTGAAGAATCAGATAAAACGAATGTATGTTGTATAACTTTATGTAAGATTGTAGAAAATGAAAATTGATCTCGAGTGAAAAAGTAGTTCATGTTTGTCTGGGAAGGGGTGGCATTACGAATAGAAAGCCAAGGTGAACAAAGAGCTTCTTAGAGGAAATTTCTGTGCCTCGAATTTGGTGGTGATTTTAAAGGAATGTATGTCTGTTGTATTTGTCAAAGTTTAATGTTTAAGTGTATGGAATTTATTATACAAAACGTATTCCTCATTATATTTGTTTAAAAAGATACATGTGTGTAATAAATCAACAAGACTATGAACAATAGAAGATTATAAGAATAGCGGTGAGAAAAACAAAGAAAGGGAGAAAACTACTTTGTTCTTATCGGCTATCAAAAATTATTTTTGGAAATGGAAAACATTCTAATTTATGCATCATATAGATTTGCAGGTTTACACAGGGATCTTCCATTGTCAATGATTTATAGGTATCTTTTTCTTTAACATCAGCTTAGATATTAATTTTCTTTTTTCAACAAAGTAATAAAACAATTTTAAAAATTTCTAACCTCTGTTCAAGGTGTTAAAGGTGCCAACATGGTAATGGGGAACTGCAGTTAGTTGATAGTAGATGATTATATTTTGTTGGCCTAGCCTAATCATTCTCCAGCTCATATTGAAAGAAATAAATTTGCAGCATAGATAAAACTGTGAACCTAGCAGAGAACATAGTGTATCCAGTTCATAAATTTGTGTACACATAAGACAGTATTAAAGTTGTAAAATACTATAGTAGATCCACCTTTTCTTAGATTATGACATATTTACAAATGGTAAATTTTTCTAGATATGCACTGTGACTAAATTACAGTCTGCTTTTGCTCCACTGCCTAGAGGAAAAGATGCATCTAATTTATCTTGGTTTAGATTGTACCAGTGAAATATGTTCACTTAATTCTTTTTCTGTGAATCTCATTCTCTACGAACACCAAAGCAAATATGGAGAATTGATTTTCACCAGGATGGAATGCATAGTCCGAAAACTTGGAAATGATATGAAGTACAAAACTGAGTATTTTAGGAAAATCTTTGCAGCGAAGTCACATTTTCCATATGTCAGTAAATAAGATTTAGAAAAAAATCATGTAAATTCATATAAATACTACAACATACTGTTGTAGTATTGAAATTGCTACAACAGGAAATCACAAATACATAATTATAGCTATAATTCTCTTCTTATCTACTGAGGCTTATGGTGGCATGCACATTTAGCCACTCCATTAAATTGCAAGTTGGATACAGATTAGCCCCATATGGAATGGGAGTTTATGGGAAAAGAACATACTTGGTTTAGGAGAGGATATCTGTATGACTCCCTACAAAGCAGTGATTTGTAGAATTTTACAAAGGAGCTCAGAAGTTGGCTTGTTCAAAATTTCACTATTCTCTCCCTCTCTGCATTTCTAGAATGTTTTCTACATGACACATGTGTTAATTCAGCATCTGAATTAACACTCCATGTTGGAGAGTTTATGCAGCTAATATTTATTGAGTGTCTTCCTTGTACCAGATAATAAAAATTTTTACATTCATTAACACTGATAGAGCTCTCACAGCAAAGTACTTTACAACATAGTAACTCATGTATTCCTCAAAACACCCTGTAAAGTAGGTGGTATTAAAACCATTTCACACATGATGAAACCACTACTAATTGGGAGGGTGGGGATTGAAGGTGAGGTGATATGTTTTCAGTGACTTTGTTTTTTCACTCTACTTCCTCATAGTAGGCAATGTGCTTTATACATGTCTTTATTTTTTATTTTTATATTTTCTAAATTGAAAAACAAAAATTATATAGATTTATGGCGTACAATGTAATGTTTTGTCACATGTATATATTGTGGAATAATTAAATCAAGCTAATTAACATATTTATTACCCCATGTACTTAATTTTTGTGTGTGTGTTGAGAACATTTAAAACCTACTCTTAGCAATCTTCAATTGTATAATGTGTCATTGTTAACTATAAGTGCCCTGCTGTATAGTATACTCCAAAAACTTATTTCTCCTAACTGAAACTTTGCATCATTTGAATGACATCTCCCCATTTTGAGCCCCCACCAGCCCTTGATAACCACCATTCTACTCTCTGCATTTCATTTTACATATCATATATTGTTGAATACTGACCATAATATTATTAACATCTCCAAAGTGATGGACCCAGTATCCCAACCTAAGGAGTCTGACATGAAAACCAATGCTCTACATAGAAGGATAGAGATGGTCTGTGATTGCTCAGCATTATTTATGATTATTTATGTAACTACTCCTGAATTGATCACTGTATGCCCTAGAATGGAGCAATAAGTTACCAGAAAAGACCCATGGCAGATACACAAAAACAGCAGGTGCTGTGAAGTCACTCATCAAGTTTTTACCTCCTCAGTGTCCAGTGGCATCTCCTAGGTTACCATGAGTCAGGAAGTGAGTGGAGCACTGCTGGGCTCACTGTCCTACTATATCTAGGTGATAAATGAGTAAAGTGTACTTTCTCCAAAGCAAAATGGTTTTCTTTTCACAAAAAAACTAGCCTCTGAATATTGTGGTGACAAAAAATAATATTTATTACTTTCAGCTGTTAAACACTCACATACCTGTGGTGATTTTTAAATATGTCCACACATTCTTTGACATTACACTCTTCAAAAGATTTTTCTCACCTAAATCATGGACTTAGTGACTAACATACAATGACTAGAATGTGGTGAAAATGAAAGTATATATGACTTTTGGATGAAGTTATACCAGACATTGCAGTTTCTTCCTCACATACGCTCTCTTGGATCACGTTTTGTGGAAGAACAGCCAAGCTGTAAGAACACTCAAGCAACCTTAT